GACGAAATGCTGTCAATTCCTTTACTTTCTCAATCCAACAAGCCGCCTGTACTGCCTCCTACCCAAGGATTGCCTCTACTGGTTCTTAGTACCAGTAATGCGACTGAGTGAGAAGCGCTGGGATCTTCAAGAGTCCTGCCTTTCTTTCCACGAGTGGGAAGAAAGGCTTGGCTCGGTGACCTTGAGTGAATGATTTTTTATTTATTTTATAGAAGCATGTGTGTATCTGAGTAGTTATTTTTATTAGTTTAGTTTATTTTTGTTTAGTTTAGTTTATATACAAAAAAACTTTTAGTATTATTGTTTTTCTGTATTATTTATTTTTGATAAAGTGTGAATGTGCTCTCTGAACACTATTATAAATGTCCTTAATTGTGACGGATTGTAATATCTATCAAAAAAAAAAAAAAAATGTCTATTGGAGGCATTTGTGCGCTGAACAATATTTTGTAGATAAGAATGCACCTGAAGCTCTCTAAATATGGTCAGAAATATTGACTTTCTTTGTCTAATGGTTTGATAAAGGATGGCTTCAACCATCTAAAGACAACACGGACATTTTGCAAATAACGGATGTAAACCGGTCCAGCAGTTTTACGAACGAAACCTGAGGAGTCCTTAAAATATAATTGTGTATATATTAATTACGAAATCAATAGAAATAGTCAAATGAAAACAACAATAGGAAACAATACGTGCCACATTTTTTTTACAAATTTAATTACAACATTCAATATCAACTTCAAAACCTGACTTAGTTAAAACGATAAAGGTCTATAAGTTTATACTTCAAATATTTTATTTTACTGATTAACTTATTGAATTGGCTGAGGGTGATCAATAAATCGATATACTCAATCACTAAATATACTTGTGACGTTCAACACTGAATTGAGCCTACTTTGTGGCAGGCAGGATTCAAAATGGGATTGTTTACGGATTGAGATCGTATCCATTGTTTTTTTATTTTATTTTAATTTACATTAAATTTGCCACTGCGTTGTGACGCATCAAGCAAATGTGTTGTCGTTTATTCTGTCTTCTTTAATTCTTGATCCTTGTTTACATTTTCAGCAGGAGACCTCTAGTCCATTACCTTTTTAGTCGTCGTTGAGGCTCGCCAGATAACAGGGAAGAAGAAAGATAAGGAATAAACGACAACACATTTGCTTGCTCACTCGAATGTGTGGGTCGGTATTGAATAAATTATATTCAATTTCAAGCACAATAACAATTATGTTCGCCTGCGTTACTAACCACAATACCACAAACATTACGAATCAGTTAGGTATTTACTGATCCGTATTTATTTAATTGGTTACCAATACCGACTGTTGAATTATAATTCAGATTGCAATATGCGATTGTTATGATTATTATAAATAAATAAATAAAATATGGAATGTTCATCATACTTACCACCCAACTTACTTTTATTATTTAGAAATTATTTTTTGGCAAAATGTGATATTGGGGAAACTCTTTGAAGTACATGTTTAATAGAGTATACACATTTGTGTGTTTCAGTCATATTAAGACGTAAAAAAAAAACTTAAAAAACAGTCACGGGTGGAAGAGAATGAAAACCTCCGAACTCCATCAGTCAATTTAAAACATGTAACTCCAGTATCGGAGCCGTATAGACCTTTAAAAAGAGAGTTGTGAAAGTAGATAAATAAATTCTACTTTACAAGTGTTTCTCTACATTTATGGATAAGCACAAGATCTTTTGCTCACACTGTAATTGTTATTCCGAGAAACACCAATTGTTTCCGAAAGCAGATGGAGGTGGCCGAACTGTCAGGTAAACCGGTTTATTTTCTTGCAGCTTATCCCTTTAGAGCGAGCGTTGTAAAATCATAATCCTGATTTTAACTGGAAAGGAACAGTTGGGACTTTGTGGAAGTCGTAAATGCAGGTTACACTAATATAAGTCAAAAATAGATATTTCTTTATGATTTATCAGTATAATTTCATATTTTATGCCCCTCTAGTATTTTCCATAGTAGCAGACTTCATACCTAAAGAATAATCACTTTATATGCTCTACAGTGAAACACTCGAATTTTGCAAAATGACCTTTAGCACTAACAGCATCTATATAATGATGTTTGTATGCAACAACGTCTTAAAAATAAGTAGTTATTTATATTGTAGTCATAAAAATATGAGGAAATAAATAAATACCCCGAGTATAATCCACCAGTGTGTATTCTGCGTTACGACAGGTACGCAGGTCAAAAATATTATAAACGAAGATGACTTCAGAGATATTGGCCAGTCATGTTACTTTGTGCAACATCAACGTCATCCAGGATCCAGCCAACATATTACAAACAAATAACTATAATAAGTTGATGATGATTTTAAATGAAACTAAAAAAAAAAAAACGATTGTTTTGTTCATCTTTTTTTTTTTATCTTTCAATAATAATCTGCACCTGTTGGCACGACTGTTGGCAATCAGCAGATGGTCTGATTAAAGTAACGAAACTGACATGTCAGGGATGGGGAGAATGCACCCAGCATTACCTCTTCCCCGGCTTGAATCAATTACATGGTTTGTTAAGGAAGGAGGTCACTCATTCAACGCCTATTTAGTCCCCTCCTCATATTGGAGGGTATGTCAGCTGAAGGCATATCTCTGATTAGTATGTTAGTATGTCCGTGTAAATTATTGTGAAACCGTTTGTAAAGAGTTCTTATGTGTTGGTCAACTGTAGGCAGGAGGAAGTCAGTGTGTAAGGTTTTGTTTTTCACGTAACAAGGTGCTTTAGTTATAATTCGTAATATTTTTGAGGGGATAGTTCGTGCAAGTGGGCCTTTTTTACTATACCGTATATTTGTGAGGAGTAAGTCCGTATAGGTTTAAGTAAGTATTTAGTTTCTGTCCCAGTTCTAGTTCTGAAGATTTGGAAAAAAGTGAGTAACGTATTCCGTTTCATTTTGACATGTGAGCCTCATGTCATCCTTCTGTCAAAGGTAAGACCAATGTAGTGTACGGTGTCTCTCTAAGGAATTTGTTTGTTTTTGGTATAAATTGGAGGGCGGGTATTTCATCGAAGTGTAAATTTAATATGTTTCAATTTATCGTCGTTTAGTCGAATTTATAATTTATCTTGTCTTATAATTTATCTAAATGATGTTGTAACATCAGAACTGCTGTTTTGTGAGAATTGCTGAGTCGTCAGCATAAGTAGTAGACAAAGTCTCACTGTTAATAGCACTAGCGGATCCAGGTTATAATTTTGGGGTTGGCTTCAGCCCAAAATTTTTTTTTTTCATATATATATAACGATAATTACTTTGGAAAAAAAAGATACTAACTATCTATATGAACTGGTGCTTAAGTGATTCTTGAATTTCTATTATATAACGAATTATAATAAATTAAATGTTGAACGAGAAGTAATACTTTAAGTAATTTATTTTATATCTTTTACCATAAAACATGGTTACGTTTTACCATTTTGTGGGGGGGGGGGGCAAAAGCCCTTCCGCCGTAGATCCGCCTATGGTTAATAGCTATGTCGTATACAATATATAGTAGTGGAACAAGTACTGAACCTTGGGGCACTGCCACCAAGACTAGACGAATAGAAGAAATTTCTGAGCCTTGCCGAAATGAGAAAAATTTATCGAAAAAGAAAAATTGAAGAATCAGGAAGTATGTGAGCAATTGTATGGACTAGTGTTTAAAGAGAAGACCCTGATGCCAGACTTTGTCGAACGCCTTAGCGACATCCAAAAATACACCAGTCGCATACAGTTTTTGTTCTAAAGCACCAGCAATGTAGTCTGTAATTCTATGTAATTGATGTATCGTCGAATGAAATGTACGAAAGCCAAACTTATAGTCAGGAATTATTCGTTGGTCAGTCAGTATGTCAACTAGCCTTTTGAATATAAATTTTTCTTTGTTTTTGGCAATGATGACTTCCAATTAAACAACTATTGAATTTATTTGTTGCAGTTCCAAATTACATGTAAACATGTTAACGTTTCGGGAAATTTACTCCCATCTTCAGAACTACAATTCCAATGTTTTTTTGTTGATTCATGACTTAAATCTTATGTGCTCCATTTTCAGGTTCTAAATTCATATTATAATAAATTAAAGTATATAATATCCGGATCATCATTATGCTTTTAGACCAGTTATGGCAGACACTCAATAATTGGTCTAAAAGCATGATGATGATAAAGATAATATATACTTTAATTTATTATAACATGAATTTAGTACCTGACAATGGAGCACATTAGATTTAAGCCATGCATCAACAAATAAAACATTGGAATTGTAGTTCTGAAGATGGGAGTAAATATCCCAAAACGTAAACATGTAATTTGGAAATATAACAAATAAATTCAATTGTTGTTTAATTGTAAGTCATCATTGCCAAAAACAAAGAATAACATACAACTTCCCAGAAAAAAGAAGACTTAATTTTTCAAATATTTTGCAACAAATTGTAAGAAAGCGTATTGGTCTGTAGGATGAAGGATCGTTTTGTAAATCATTTTAATGAATGAGTATTTCCATTGTAATGGAAATTTTGATGTTCCCAATTGTAAATTGTATTCGGAAATACTAGAGCTTTTCTAGGCATCTGTTGGAGCGTTTCGGCAGTAATTAATTCATAACCACGGGCTTTTCTTTTAGGTAAATGTTTGATCTGAAGTGAAACTTGAGATGTAGTAAAGAAAGGCCGTGGTACTGTAAGTTGTAGAGGAATGTCTAAAGTGTTAATTATGAGGGTTTCATGTTCAATGTTTGTGAAATCATGTAAATGGTTTAAATACAGGTATCAGTAAATGATTAGGGAACAATTCAGATTTTTCCTCCTCATCCGACAAGGCCCAAGAACCACCTTTCCTTCGAACGGGTGCTGACACCTCTCGATGTCATAGCAGCTTTTATGCTTCCACGAGCTTCCATCGTCAGTCGAAAGACCATTTATGTATTCGTCATAGTTTGTCCTGTTATTTTTTTTAATTTCTCATTTAAGTTGATTATTTCGGTCGAGTCGGTTAAATATCTTTCTGTTTGATGGTTGTCTGTCAGTCAAATCAAATCCCTTATGAACTGAGGATATTTAGGTTATTGCTCAGCTCTTGTGGGCTTGGATTTGGATATCGATGAAGACCAAGCAGCTCCTTGTGGTGAAAATTTTAACCGTCTCTTCCAGTTTATATTCACTTTTAACCATTCAAAAATAATAAATTAAAATAATATATACCACGATCTTTGTATGAAACAGGCATTGGTTTGTTATAAAAATAAAAAAGGTTTTTCATTTTAAAATTATAGCATGTATTATGGTCATTGTAACTAAAATTAAAGTTAGTTCATGTATTAAATTTCCATAACAGCATCATGATATTTAGGTATTTAATTATAACTAAATTGTCACATTACTTTAGTACTTATAGCCAGTGCCATTGATGCAACGTCAGTGTCCTTCACGTTGTCAACAAGAATGATATTCGGGTATGAGCCAGAAGAAACTTCTTTATACAAGAAGAAACCTAAATGAATATTAGCCTGGTCTGCGAGATCCTTTACAGAAGGCTTGCATATGAAGGCTTGAAATCCACTTTGAGTCAGGGTCCATGAAAGTAAGAAATACTCTTTGTTAGAATGCTCGTGCATCTTTTTGATTTGATCACCAATCATTTTCGACCACTTATTACTGCCAGAATAATCATCATAAATCACCAAGTTGTTAGGCATAAAGTAACCCTTACCCATCCTACTGCCTAATTGTACTTTGGAATCAGGATCATCAACAATTATAACAACGGAAGCTCTTGACCCATGATTCGTGTAATCGTCTAGTGTAATCTGATCAAGATGTACATCATTGTTGCTATTTTTATAAAGAAAATTTATTGTGTCCAGTTTTTGGAACAATTTCTCCCACTCTTCTTGTTTAAACTTTCTGTAGCTATTTGATCCGACATCAGTGTTAAGAGAATGCGATAATTTAATTATTATTAGTTCATTGTGGTTCTTGGTAAAAGCGTTGAGGTCGGTTATAATGGAGGAGATAGACTGACCGTTGCCACCCTGCCAGCTACCTTTAATATGAGTGTAGTGTCCGGTGAGATAATCACCACCGTTACCAATAACTGGTCTTATATCAAAGTATCTGATACCAAGATTTAACTGCTCCCCAAAAGAATGACTTTGAGTAAGCACATTGCAAGGTCTACCAAAAGCAGTGTGCCCATTCAGTCTGCTCATACCCGCATCATGAGCGCCAGGAATGGATATTTGCTTAAGAGTTCTTTTCCCTAAGAGGTCTATATTGTTCTTCATCCAGTTAGAACCGTCCAAACTGGTGCCGGTGTATTTTCCATTATTTCCGATGATAATAAAATTAGTATCTCCGTTATGCCTCCACCCTAAACTGCGTCTCATTCCCTTCGGTTGGCCATCAATTTCCAAATTGTTATAGACAGCTTCCAATCGGCGAGGTTTTCCATGCGCTAATATTTGAAAGCTCTTTCCTCTTGTTCCAACAAGTTCGTAATCAACTCTAGCGTTAACTGATTTGGAGTTGTGCCTGAACTCTACGTAAACACGTGCTGTGTCCCCATTTTTAAGAAAATCGGGAAATTTCCAGTCGTTCATTACATGGGATTCACGATGAGTTAGTTTCCAATCTGAACCACTCAGATTGATAAGGTAAACAGAACCACCTTCTCCAGCGATGCTGAATCCAACACAAGCCCCAAGAAAGATTAGAGCAATCATTTCTTCGATCACTAAGAACCTCGTTCACATAAGATCCTTACCTATAAACATTAATTCGTTAGTTTTATTTTAACAAAAATACAACCTTTATGATATAAAGGTATAATTACTTATTATATAATTAAATGTGTATTAGATAAAATTAATAGGAGTATCTTAGAAAATCCGTCCGCGACTTTAATAATTTCCATTACTCTTCTCGATTGTTTTAAAAAAATAGTTAATGATATATAACGTACTCGCGTTTCAATTTTGGGTGAGCCCCATCACCTTATTTTTAACTTTAAAAAAATTGTAAACAAGACATCAAGCATTGGTAATTCCACTTAGAAGCCTAAAAAATGTAACACAGTTACAGGAAAAGGCATTAAAAGCACAAAACTGTAAGAAATCACGCTATTGAAACTATTGTATATTGAGGAAATGAAAAAAAAAAAAAAAAAGTTTTGGTAAGTCACTCGACAAAGACTTAAACAATAATTACAAATAAAAATAACCATATTCCTAATTCCACATACCTTTCTTAAAACGCACTCTGTGTAGCTAAAGTGGCTCCTTTACTAATCCTCATCCCAATGACTTTACAACGTGTTCAAACATTGTCTGTGGGCTTAGAGTATATCATAGGCTGTGTTCATTAATTCAACAATCTCGAAAAAATTGTCATTTATTTGAAATAGGGCTCCAAAAAAATTTCGGAAAGTTTTGTGTGAATGTGATTTCGAAAAAAAAATTGTCCCACTTCGGCCCACTTTAAAAATTATTATGAGAAGGAATTAGTCGAGGGTGCGGTCAAAAAAATAAAAAAAATTAAAATATATAAATAATTTTAATTTTTGCCGACGTTTCGACCCACTTTGCAGGTCGTCTTCAGGGCGTTGGATGTGGCACTGCGGGAGGCGGTTAAAAATTATTATTTGAATTTAATTATTCATATATTTTTAAAAAAATATGTAATATTCCTTTTTGCCTTTAATTATATTAATACAAAAAAGATATAGATATTATTAAAATATATGCTTAAAACACGGATACAGCACACTCATTTTTTAACTTTATCCGATCTTTCCGTTCAAGGCGTCATTCGATTCAACTCCCCGACAACTTCCTAACAAATGTTGTCGTATACATTTTTAGGATTACCAAACGGATTAGCAGGAAATCGGAAAAAAAATCTCTAAAATTTCACTCCGCTAGCCATTCAGATCAAGTTCTAATTTTACACGGATGTAGGTGACTCAATATCCAACGTTATTTTGGTTATTTTGCCAGCGATAAACTCAGCAGATTTTAAAGAAGTTGAGAGACTACAACTTTTTTTATTGTTTCAATCGATTCCACAATTTCCTCGCTTCATCATAAATGAAAATTAAACACTTAAAAAAATTTAATAGATCAGTGGTGGTCGATTTAGTTGTGTGGCATCTAAACAAATATCTGAATAGCAAAGTTGGTATTATGTCATTTGCGAAACCTTCACTACCACAAGCCCTTCCCCCCTAAAAAAAATTAAAACAACCCCTTTTCCCACCCAATTTTATGAAATTAAATTTGGGTCCCCCAATAATACAAATATCAAAAAAATTCTCAAATTTTAACTATACACCTCAAATACAACTACACACAACTACGGTTACATCGGCTAGTATAATCATAAATCTGCCAAAGTCACAGTCAAAGTAACTTAAGTCGTTTACAAAATTATTTTATCTAACAACCTTCAATTGGTTATGGTTGTGTTAGCAGTTCGTAAACTACAATGCTGGGATCTGAGAAGTTAGTTTCTTTATAAAATTTTCAGTTATGAATATGATAACGTCTACGTTTATGTCTAACGAGTCAAATATATATTACTGGTATCCCGTAGGATCTTCAATTATAGAAATATACACGAATATATGTGTGTTTAGAAATAAAATAACGCAATATTACACTTTATTGGTGAACTTACCTAAATAATAAATAACTCAGGACTGTGCAGTAATGGCGACGTCTTCGAGCTTTTATATTGTGTTATCAGCTTAATTTACAGAAAATCAGACTGCATTAGCATCGAAGAACAAATAAGGAAAATAAACAGTTTAATTTTTTAATCAAATAATTGAGATACTAATTGAAACAATCGGACATTTTTACAATTTTAATAATCTAATTGGACGGCATTTAGCAGAAATGGGCCTCAGCTACCGAGACTGGCACAACTCTGTAAGTTGAATTTTTGAGAAAAAGTCGTTGGAAAATTTTATCACTTTGGAAAAAGACTGGCAGAACTCAAAAATAAACTATTAGCAGGCTCTTCTTCTCTTGTAATTCCTTAGAATCCATTCCGTAGCAATTTTCGACCACCTTTTTGAGTCCAATCTGGCTACATGGCTAGCTCATCTCCATTTTAAAAAAATGCTTCTTTCGACATGCTTTTAAAGTCAACCTGACTTTAAACTTTTCTGTTGCTGATCCGATCTTTTCTCTTACCAGTAATTCCTAACATGCATCGGGAAAATTGAAATTGTGTCTTATTGAGCTAGTCATAGTTTTTTTACGCATGCAGACCATGTCTGACTTTCGTATAAAATTACAGGATGTGCACACTTTTCTAATATTTTAGCCTTAATAGCTGGAGATATTTGACTTTTGAATATGTTTTTCAGACTCCAGTATTTTTTCCACCCAAGTTAATCCATTAATTTATTTCTTCTGGTCTATTTTTTATTGATATGGTCTGTCCTAGGTAAACACGCTGCTCTATAAACTCGATTTTTTATTTCTTACTTTCACCTCTCTTTTTTGGAAATAAGTCATTAACTTAGTTGTGTCTGCATTATTCAGTACCTTTATTACCTCCTCTTCTAGTATATATTTCTCAAGTTGACTTTTTGTTGGTAAATCAGTTTATGCGCTGTGACTGTATAGGCATCGAAAAAACTTGATTATGGAAATATTTATTTCTTCTTGGTTTGAGGTTACTTTCCTGAGGCTGTTCTAAGTTAATGTATTGATGTCCTTTTTACTTCAGCTAGCTCTTTGTTTATGATTCTGGTAGATCCTGTTTATTATATAATTTCACAAATTTTGTTTTCATCATATCCTTTTAGTTCCCGCCTGATTCTCCTTCTTACAATCTTTCTTATTTCGCGGTGTTCTATTATTTCATGAGGTGACTTGGTTTTAATATTTTAACTTTAATTAATTCTTCTATTCTGTTGATCACTTGTTTGACAGTGTCTGAGAGTTTCATTTTTCCGTTTTGGAGTAGTTTGAGCATTTTTCTGAGATATTTTTGAAGTGTCTTTAATAGCAGTTTATAATCTGTCATAATAATATTTTGCTGTTTTTCTTTATCTGGAACATTAATTACTAACAAATTTTCTATAAATTGGCTTTCCTGTCCTTCACTCACTTTCAATTTTTTTTTCTTTATGCAGAATTTTCTTCTCGATGGTATTTTTATTTGTCCTGTTATTAATCTGTGATCTGAATCGAAGTGGTAATTTTTTGGAGCTTAATATTTTCTTCATTAAGGTCTTTTCTGGCAAAGATATAGTATATTTCGTGTTTCGAGTCATTGGGTGAACACCATGTTTATTTGAGATCCTGTTTAGTATTATTAGTATTATAATTATAAGTAAGTTTAGTATTATAAGTATTTACATTTTGTAGGTTGTTTCTCTTGGAAAAATTAATCAGCATGCTACCACTCTCATTACGTTTTCCAACTCCGTTTGGTCCCATAGCATCTGAGTCTCCAATCTTTTTTTTAAAAACTGGGAGTGGTTTAGTTATTATGAACGGCTTTTTTATTTTATTTATTTATTGAGTAATATAATATTCTGTTACTTGGGCAATAATTTTAGTGAGGTAAGACTACATCTACACTATACAGTGTATCCCGTAAGGAGGGGAAAATGTTTATAGGAGTGACGGCAGACTTCCAAGAGCTACAAAAAGTTCATACAAACAATAACTCAATTTTCAGCAGAAAAGTAGGAAATCCGAGTTTTTTATTTTTTTTTTAATTAGACATATTTTTTGTTGTAAAAGAAGCGATAACTAAAGAAATATTTAATTTAAGTAATTAACAATTATTTCACTGAAACGTAGACAATATTTTGAAATGAAAAATTGTTAAAACCATTTAAAGAGGATTTTTAGGAGCTAAATCATAATTTATAATTTATCATAAGATAAATATAATTTTATCATCACCCAACAACAACACTCCAGATACCACTTTTAGAAAAAATCCTCGTTTAATAAGCTTTAAGTCTGTTTAAATTAAATTGAATTTTATTAAGGAAAAATTTGAGATTCACCTCAAGTTGTGTAAAAAAATAATGTGATTTCTTGGCCTGTAAAGTAAAAGAAGCCCTGTTTTCAGCAAAAATGACAATTATTTGTTGTAAAGCTTTCTTGTTTTTCCATAATCTGGGATGTATAAACATGATTCTCCAAACACTTTGTTTATTTGTAAAAAGAAAAAAAATTAAAAATATTGAATGTTCATAAAGAGTTTATGAAACTGTTTTTCACACATTTATTATAGGAATTTATGCGTAGTGGACTAAGTTGATGTAATCTAGCGTTGAAATATAGTTCAAAATAAAGAAACCTGCTGATTGCTTCAATTATTTTTATGAAAACGTTAATATTAGGATCAGTAACATTTAGCTTGTCCCTTATCGAAGTGGTAATTTTTTTGGAGCTTAATATTTTCTCCATTAAGGTTTTTTCTGGCCAAGAAATAGCCTATTTCGTGTTTCGAGCCGTTGGGTGAACACTATGTTTATTTGAGATCCTGTTTAGTATTATTGTAATTATTTAAAATTTTTAGGTTGTTTCTTTTGGAAAAATTAATCAGCATGTTACCCCTCTCATTATGTTAATACGGATTAATAAGAGGTACAAATACGGAGCAATTCCTATAATACATATCTGAGTAAAAAAAAGTTTTTAGACACCTTTCCCTGAAAATTTTGAAAAAATTAGTATAATTTACACTTCACACTAAATTTACACTTCGATGCGACACATACCCACCAGTTTATATCAAATTCCTCAGACGAACGCAGTACGCTATCTTGGACTACTCTTCGACAGAAAAATGACCTAGGGCTCACGCGTCAAAATGAAACGAAATACTTTAATAAGATTTGAAGTTCGAAAAAATAAAAAACGTGTCGTTTTTTTTTTTTTTGTTTTTTTTTTGTTTCTCCTGTAAAATAACATTTTCATGACTTTTCCATGTCAATGCTTTAATTGTCAAATCATTCTTTAGCACTATTTATCGCTCATTCAAAATAATGGCATAAACACCTCTTAAGGTTTCACCTTATTCAGAATATTATCTGATTGCTAACATTGAAATTTCCAACAATAAAAGTGTCAGGCAGGTTGAAGAAAAAATGTGAAATTTTCTCTCCTTTCAAATATTTCTGCAATCACCGCGTAAGCTACTGGTAACACAATTTCCTCTGTCCATCGCTACCCTCCTGAACCGTTAATAAACATTAATTTTACCCCATTTTCTCGAACGGTTTTCATTCAACTATTTATAATTATACGAGGTTTAAGCCCCACGCTGTAAGATTTTTTTCTTCAGCATTTGATTTAGTTTGCAACAAATCCTTGCAGGATTTTCCACAGCGCAAATAGCTGTTCAAACAGCATAATGACAAATTAAAACTGATATCTCTTGTATAATTTCTCAATAAATCATCTGATAGGGCACTTTTGAAAGAGTCCCAGAAGTGACATTTATGAGCAAAACCCACCCATAGCTTTAAACAAACTCACCTTAATTGTTCTTCACTGACAGATGTTTCACTTCTGTACCGTCTTACGAATTCATAATTACTGATTCACTACTCACTTGATAAAATTAATTGATTTTACTCAATTGATAAAATATAATTCAATAGTTCACTTTTAGTAAAATAGCTTCTCATATTCAACACTAAACACGAGCGGATCTACAGGGGAGGGGGTTTCGGGCTGAAGCCCCCCCCCAAAATGGAAAAATATAACCATGTTTTATGGGAAAAAAAAATTAAAAAATACCTCTTAAAGTATTATTGTTCGTGTAATTACATTTAAAAGTACTTAAGGAATAACTTAAACACCATTTCATATAGGTAGTTAGTTTCTTTCTGTTTTTCCAAAGTAATTATCGTTATTTTTATGAAAAAAAAAGATTTCGGGCTGAAGCCCTCCCCCCCAAAAAAATTAAATCCTGGATCCGCTAATGACACTAAAGGCCCCTGCATCCAGAACGCGATACGTCCTGACGATACATACCTTTGTCGGTATCGCTGCGGATTATGGTGTTCTGTGTGATAACGGTGTATAGTAATCATTATAATAAGGTGTTTGTATAGTAATCGCTATAGTTGTATATAAGTCCAGCCACAGGTGGATCTACGGGGGGGGGGGAGCTTTCGGGCTGAAGCCACTCCCAAAATGGTAAAATATAACCATGTTTTATACAAAAAAATATTAAATACTATCTCTTAAAGTATTCTTGTTCGTGTAATTATATTTAATAAGACTTCAAGAACCATTTAAACACTATTTCGTATAGGTAGTTAATTTCTTTCCTTTTTTTTCAAATTAACTATCGTTATATGTATATGAAAAAAAAATCTTTCGGGCTGAAGCCTCTCCCCCCCAAAAAAAAAATTATATCCTGGTGTGTAATATCTTATGGCTAGTGAGTCCAGCCATATCGCCAGCGAAAGGAATATCGTTGTTGAGTGGTAACTTGTAAACAAAGTTGTGGGGTAATGTTTTAATGAGGGGATGTTCACTATTGTTTTTGTTTGACCGCTGCACGTAATTATCCTCCTGTTTTGTATCACTCAAACAAATTTCAATACACACATAACACTTTAACTAATTATATTGATCCTTCCTAAAACTTACATTCTCGAAGTGAATCTGACAAGGCGAAATACAATTGTTTAACACGTTAGCTGCTGACTATGATATATCTTAAATGCGTTTTCCGACAATATCGTTCCCCGGCGACCGACACTAGTTATGAAGTTCCTAACGGCGTCGGACACCGGAGACACACCAGTTTCGAAGTATACCGCAATCT